TATGCTGTGCCTTTCAAACTAACACTTTCTAGCCAAACATCTTTAGGTCGAAAAAGAGAACTCTCTGAAATTCACAGAGCAATAGGTGCGGTGTATAAAAGACATGGACTGCTCAAAGCACAACCTTGGACAACTTCCGGAGAAATATTAAGCTATTATGGTTCGAATTTTGTTCGGAAGGGACAAAGGGATAATTGGAGAAGCATTTTCGTCCAGAAGTGCTTATTGTTGTAGGGATATAAGACATTTAAGCATAACAGAGTATCCATTGCACCATTTCAAGAGTATTCTGGCTGTTTTGCGGTTTGTTTGCAAAGCTCTTGCTCAAACAACTGCATTTACGTATTTGAGTTCCTTTTACCTAGGAAGAAAAAGTACTCTGGGAGTTGGAGAGTGTTGTTGCCCATGCTAATGAAAACGTTGAAGACATTCCGCCGGAGGGTCTAGTACAGTAATGAGATTTGAAATATACAAATGGATTATGGATAAACAAAATAAAGTGATGAACTCTGGGTTTGTTTGGACAATGCATTATTTGAAATATTATTTGAAATAATTACTGTAACACTTTTTATGATATGATGTATGTGAGATAAAAAAGTGGTTGGAAATATAAAAAGGTGAATTAAAAAATGTGTCTATGATGCAAGTAAAATATTATTTGTAATATGATGTATGTGATTTGGTGCCAGATCTTGGCTTGACCCGAGCCTGATCCATGGTTAGATCATGTCCAGAGTGGTCCGATTCTTTCCAGTTCTACATTCAGATTTGGATTTAGTCTGGATCACTTAGGTCTCGTCCAGTTCTGTGAACTAGCGGATCCTTGTAATAGTCAAAAAGTGGTTATTTGGAACCAAATGGTGCGCAAAACGAATGCGGCTGCGTCCGGTCATTATGTGCTCATAAAAAACACTATTCCTGTATTTTATACTTATTATATAAGAAAGATGAATTGAATATTTTGAAAAGGAACATGAGGAAGAGGATTTGAAACCAAGTAGAATCTAAAAAACTTACTAGCAACCACTATGCAAATTCAAAGAGTAAATGGCTATTACTTAGGAGAAGGTGAAAATATTGGTCAGATCCATTTCAGGTTCATAAATTCTCTTCCTTAAACAAAAAGAAAAAGAAAAGAAAAACCAAGAAATTTTTCCCTAATCTTCTATTTTTTACTATAAAATAAATATGACATATCTCATGCATATTCTTATAAAGCCAAGCAAAAACATTAGGAAAAAACTTATTGCTAATACACAAAACTGATAAAGAAAATGTTTGATTTGTCGAAGAAGTGCCAATGGACATTCATTGAGAGGGATTTTCAGAAAAAAGTGAAATAAAAATTAAAAGAATTTCCTTTTAAAAAAGGTAACAATAAATGCAAATATGTGTACATAATAGAAGCCAATAATAACACGAAATAACATGAAATATGTATTTTACATGTAAGAACCGAAGACAAAAAAATGCATTGAAAATATGTCCATGAAAATACGAATGTATATATGATGCCCTTTCTTGCGGCTCTTCTAGTTCCAGTCTTCATGGTAAAAGTAAATGAAAGCATCGAGAAATTCTAAACCTGACAAAACTTAAAACCCAATAACTTATCCAACCCACCCACTAATTTTAAAGGGTCGTTGAATTAGACGGTAATGAGTTTTGATTAGTTGGGCTCAAATTATTTATTAGATGGGTTGGGTGTCTCTCCTTAAGTACTCATTACGCAACTTTGTATTTTTTAAAAAAAATTCAAAACAATAAAATTATTCAATTAAGAACAATTGGGACCACTTCATGTTGGTTCTAGCTCTTGCCTTTTGCTTGCTTCCATGTTATTTAGCTTTTTTTAATTCTTCTAGCCGGTCCTTTTCTCAAAACCTATAAATTGCTCCCTTAGGCCAAGTTTATGTGCCAAGCAAAAAGATAATAAGGCCCTCATTATAAGGATAGTGTCTAATAATCTTTTTTTTTTTTTTCATTATTGTTCTTTCTTCTTCTTCTCCTTTTTCCTTATTATTTTTACATCTTTTTTCCTCGTCTTCAAATCCTAATTCTGTGTATCCACTTCAATAATAATAATGTGTTAAAAAATTTCCTTTTGTGGTCAAATAACTTTCTTACTAAAAATATTTGGTCATCATTATTTATCACAAGATAACAAAAAGCATATAGTAACAATTTCAATTAAGTATTTGCTATTGATAATGATCACTTCTTATGCTTCAATTTTTATTAAAAAAATAGAAATTCTTTTCTTGTTAGAGAATCAAATAAACATGCATCATAAAATGGTCATTCTCAAGTGAAACATAAGGGTTATTAGCATCTTCTGTTTGTTGTAAACATTGGTTACAAAGGGGACTAGGATCAGCTGGCAGCTGAGGCAGAAGCACTTGGAAGTCAATGATTTAGTGTAGCTTTCGAACTTATTTCTCTTATTTCGAAGGACAGGGAATTGTCTAACTAAAGGATTTTAATTTGTGTTTTAAAGATTAAAAATTACTTTTAGGTGACTCGGTATAACTAAATCCAACATCGACAATTCAAAATTTTTGAAAAATCCTTTTTCTAGACTTTAGTGGGCCTAAATCTGTGGTTTTGTTAAGTTCTATTGCGGGTTTTTTTTGTTTTTATTTTGGAGATAATGTCGGGGGACAGCTTCAACCATTAAAGCCATGTGAAGGCTTTGTACTTGTACCATTTGGGTTCTAGCTTTTGCTTGCTTCCATCATATTTCGATTATTCTTCCTATCGGCCCCTTTTCTCAAAGCCTACAAATTGCTCGCTGACAAGTAAAGACATTGTATGTGCAAAGCAAAAAGATAATAATTCCCCCAATGTAGGGGTTTTGTCTAATAATCTTTTTTCATTTTTTTTTCTTTCTTCTTTTTCGCCCGTTCTTTATTATCTTTACATCTTCTTTTCCTCATCTTCTAATCCTAATTCTATGTATCAACTTCAAAAGTAATCTATTTAAAAAATTCCTTTTATGGTTTCTTACCAAAAATGTTTGGTCATCATTAGTTATCTCAAGATAATAAATAACATGCGTTAACAATGTCAAGTATTTTCTATTGATATTAATTTCTTCTTATGCATCAATTTTTATTAAAAAATAGAAATTATGAAAATAATTTTACTAAACATAAACTTTTTAGTTTATAAAATTTGATAATAATTAGATATATTATATAACAAAATAACAGTGTGTACATTTGAAATTCAAAAGAAATTTTAATAAGAATAAAGAAGAAATGAATAAGAAAAATGGAAAGATAATTATAAAATTACTTATGCTCTATGTGTAATATCTAATTTTGATGCTTAATGAGAAATTGTTAGTAAACCTATCAAGCGTTTGAATTATCTTTAATAAATGTACATTACCATTCACAAGTCCAGGAATTGCCCCCACAGACACCTAAGCTCTTCAAGTCAACGGATCCGTCCTCTAAGCTCATCTTTTGGTTCCCTTGGTCGCTTTTCTCTTGTCGACCATTGACTTTGAAGTCTTGGAGTGTGTATATATATAACACACACAGTATTAGTTTCCTAACACACACAGTGTTAGTTTCCTAAGGAACTGAGAATCGGGGAACTACAAATGGCAATAATGGAAGCTCAAACTTCTCCCTCCCCTCCTTTTTCTACGGAAGGTTTGGGGCCTTGTGAACTATCATACTCCCATTCAATTAACAATGATTATAATTAGGGGTGAGCATCGAATTCGAATTCGGTAATTCGGTAGGTTGAAATCGGTAATTTTCGGTAAATGGTTCTGGAAATATTCGACCTAATTCGCATTCGAATTAGACGCTACCGAATTCGAATTCAACCCGAATTCAATTCGGTAAACAAAAAAATACCGAATTACCGAATTCCAGAAAACTGCAAGGGTCGCCAATATCTCTTCGTTCTCGTACTCACTCAGGCACACCACACAAATTTCAGCCTCTTCACGCTCAGCCTGTTTTACACCAGGTATTGTATGATACCTTCTAGTCTTCAGATGTTGGGAGATGGTTTCTTCCAGCCAATCATCTCCAGGGCCATCCGATTCTTCAACATCAGCATTCGAATCTTCATACAGATCAAACACCGTAGGCTCCTGCCCATGACTCAGTTCAACCAATGCAGTCTCTTCTTCTGGCTCAATCCTAATTCGCATGAAGATATTTGAAAACTGGTAATCAGATTCTTGAAACCAGCCACCAGTATTATTAGTGTTGTTCTCCTCGTACTCCCCAGCCGGAGAAAGAAGTACGAGGTTTGCTGGTTGACTGATGTGGTGATGATTATCAAAGCCAGTTGCTGCTTGCACATAATTCCCTTGCATCAACATTGCAGTGTTGTATGGCAGAGGGCCAAGAGTGAAACAAGAGGCAGGTAGTATTGGATAATGGTGGCAAGGAGGATATTCCAGGCTGCTGAAACCATAAATGGGCAGCGGAGAATGAGGGTACATCGTAATCTGATTGGGACAGTAAATATTTTACCGTTTTACCGAATTCAATTCGAATTCGGTAAATCCGAATTCAAAAACCCCAAAACCAAATTCGACCCTAATTCGATTCTTACTAATTCGATACCACCGATTTACCGACCGAATTACCGAATTACCGAATTCGAATTACCAAATTGAAATCGATTTCGATCGGTAATTCGGTAATTACCGTAATTGCTCACCCCTAATTATAATGAGCACTACTGGGTTTTCTGGAGCACATGCGGCAATGACGAAGGACGCTGCGGGAAGCCTCATCATCTCTCGGCCAGTAAGTATGTATGGAGTTCTTTCATATATAATCTCTCATATATATATAATATGTATGTATGTCTGTTTGTGGATATTTTTGTTGGACTCTATTTATCGCAATTAAATTTGTCATAGCTATATATAGTCTGACTCTGATAAAACTCCCGGGGAATAAATTTGCATGAACAATTTAGAAGAGAAAAAAAATGAGTTTGATGAGAAATTAAACGGTTATATGGATGTTAGAAAGATACAAAGGCTTGGGCAAGGTGCAAAGGGGGCGGCGGCGGCGCTTAGAGGTCTTCATATAGGTTCAGGTTGGATACATCATCAGATGTGTAGATTGAGGTTGGAAGGCTCTCTCAAAGTATAATTTGGAATTTTTCTAAACTGCAATTTGCTCAAAAGTTTATGATGGATCATCATCATGAGTACATACACACATAACTTCCTTTCTTTGACTTTTTTGGTCTCGGCGAAAGCACGGGTCAATCTGCAGAGTACTCTGCAATTAATAAATAAATAAATGAAACAAACAGTTCATATATTTTTTATATATGATTTTCCTATTGCAGCTGCTAACGGTGCCGTGATTAAGGACCACATCAAATGGTTTCTACCACTTGTTATCGAAGCAATATCGTGGTTGCGGTGTCTAGTTCAATTTTGGGGTTTAGTGAAGATTGGGGACAAAACGTATTTGACAACTTGTGACCAGCCTTTTGCTCTCCATTACTACTGCTTCGATGGTTCAATCGTCGAGCAACTATGTGAATATAGGAAGCACTGTTTGGAGTACCTTATACCCGTCGATGAAGATGATGATGATCATGAGATTGGTCCCCCTGGTCGGGTGTTCCGCAGTGGGTTGCCTGAATATGCACCTTATGTGGCTGGTTACACTATTAGAGAGTATCCTCAACGTGATTATGCGGTCGATCGTGTTAAGCAATACTGGGCGTTGCCAATCTATCATCATCCTACTCAGCACCTCCCCATTGGTGTACTGGAAATTGTATCAGCAACTGATTTTTACAGATTACCTCGACGTCGGGTTCTGGAGAAGCTTGAGGTTCGACATTTCTCTTTTTAAGTTGCTTAATTACTTCTTTCCTATTGCTGACAAGGACCTGGGGGTGGTGTTGTTAATCATTTATGAGTTATATAATTATTAGTATAATTTTTATCAATAAATTAGATAATATATATGAAATGGGTGCAGACTCCCTCCCTTATATATATATATATATATATATATATATAAAGATGAGCTTAGAGGACGGATCCCAGGTCATAAATAATTCGTTTGTGATGACTAATGTAAAGATAATTAATTAATTTATTATTTGAACTAGGTGTTATATAGTGCAAGATTTGTGGTAGCATGGCACTTAATAAGAATTTCGTGATAAATCTAACTTAGAATAGGGGATGCATGAATAGTGCATGAATTTTGTATGTCTCCATGTCCTTTACAAATTTGGGGATAAATAGTGGTTTCTAGAGGTCACGGGTTTCCAATTGTTAGGTGGTAGGAGAGATGCTTTTATAAATTAATCTAATGAGAGGTCTCTTTTCAATGTATCAATAACCAATTTTTTAACTGCTTATAACTGCAAAAACTATGGTGACTCTCACCTTCATATTAATCTTTTCTTTTTAAGTTATTTTTTAACCGAAAGATGTTGATTCTAAAAAAATCTATGGCGTTTGAAGGAGGTTTTGGCTTTTCGGAACTTCTATACCAAAATTAGTTGACTACGCATTCAAAGAGCTTATTCTTTTTTTTTTTTTGGGGTTGCAAATCTGTTGTTGTCAAACAGCTTTTAAATGCCGAAACAAACACTTTGAAACTTGTAAATAACAATTTAATTTATTTATGGCTCATGGATAATGTGTTTGCAGAATCTACCACGGGAGTTGAATCTGACAACTACTTGTGTAAGCCTCCTCGCGAAAGTAAATTCATGTGAGTACCTCTAAGTGTTTTTTTCCCTTCTTTTATACTGCATAATCTTGGCTGAAGCTTTAGGCTATTCATTCCATGCTAATATTTTTAAGCCATTCCTCTACAGGTCAACGTGGAGAAATTGCTATAATTGACAAAGCATTGGTTAAGGTGAGGAACATATATGGAATTTGGACTGCTTTTGGAGAAATACTGTGTCTTCATGGTGCCACAGAATTTATTTGGAAGGGACAAGGGGTAGTTGGAAAAGCATTCTCATCCAAAAGTGCATGCTTTTGTAGGGATGTCAGACAATTAAGCATAACAGACAACCCGTTAGCACCCATTGCACGATACTTGAAGACCTCTGCCTGTTTTGCAGTTTGTTTGCAGAGCTCTTGCTCGAACAATTGCATTTACGTATTGGAGTTCTTTTTACCTACAAATGAAAAAGACTCTGGGGATTGTAGGATAATGCTGAACAGCATAATGGAGAAATTGAAAAAATACCTCAGAAGTTCTTTTAAGATCCCTTCAGGACAAGAATTGGGGCAGAAATTGACTGTTGAGGTTATAAAGGTCTCTCCAGAGGATGAATTTGATTCTTTTGAAATCTGCAGTGCTACTAGTATCGAATCTACACCTAGGCTTGGAGAAGTACAAGGAGCAGAAGGAATGATGCAACTTGATCTCTCATGTCAACAAGTTGATCCTGCAAATGGTTCTATGAATGGTATCCATGAGCAGCAGAATGGAAGTGTTGGATCTACACCCCGGCTTGCAAAAGGAATGATGCCTGTTGATTTCTCATCTCAGCTAGTTGATAATGCAAATGCTTGTATAAATGGTGTCCATGCACAGCAGGGTGGGATTGTTGGATCTCCACTTAGACTAGAGCATGTGCAGGGCTTTGTCAACATATCATATCAAGAATTAAATCTTGCAGGAATTGATGTTGCGCACAATTCTATGAATGGTATTTATGAAAAGAGAAATGGAGTTGTTAGATCTTCAACACAGGAGGTTGTGCAAAACATGGTCAGCATAGCACATGATGAACCAATTGCGGAAGATCCTCAAAGAGATGGTGCTAGAATAGAACAGAGGGACAATGAAGTGACTAATTTGAAAATGCAAAAGCCTAGATGTACTTTAAAAAGTGACCTTGGAATTACTCGTGAGGTTCTTGAACAAAATTCTACGAGGAGACTTGGAGATGCTGCAAAAAATATTGGAGGTAATCCTTAACTATAGCACTTCTCTAGCTCAGAATTGAATTCAAATGTTGCTTAATCCATTGTGATTTGATCTGGATCTGTTTGGAAAGATCTAGTTTACATGTTGTAAAGGCTTTTTCCTTAACTGACGTTTTCCTTTCTGAAATCTACAGTTAGTCAATCCACATTGAAACGTATATGTAGGGAATATGGTATTCACAGATGGCCCCCTCGTAAAGCAGGGAAGGATACTCATGAACACCGCCAATCAGGTGCAACAAGGCTAGAAGATGATAATGGCATGTGGGTGAAGGCAGAATATCAAGGGTGCATGATAAAGTTCAGACTTCCATTTTCTGCCCGTAAAATCGATTTGGAGGAGAAGGTAGCACAGCGACTGAATCTGGCCATGGGAAGTTTTAAAATTGAGTATCAGGATGAAGATAACGATTGGATATGGATAACATGTGATGAAGATCTGAGAACGTTTATGAGCACATTAAGTTCACTAGGTAGGACTACAATCAAAATGGTGGTCAAATTGATCGAACATTTATGAAACTTTGCATAATAAATTTGTTTCTGAGTATCAAATTTTCATTCTATACTTTTTCCATGAAGAAGTGTGCTCTGCCGCTAAGAATGCCGAAATACAGGCCTAGTCCCATGTAGCTTCCGTGTATGTAGCAGCACGTTTTAGTTTCATTGACCGGAAAAATATGGTTTTTTTTTTTTTAATAATCTCCCACACTTCAATGATCTCAGTTTATTGTTTCCACTATCTAGGACTTCTGTTACTTATGATAAAACCAGACATTTTTGACAATATATTCTTCAAATGAAAAAATGAACTAAAGTTAAAGTGACTGTCCTCAATAAATAAGAAAACCCTTTCCAAGGTGTAGCAACTGAATTATTATTGTTATTGCACTTGCGTCAATTGGGTTGAAAGATATTTATTCCTTGCTCATTAGTCAATGAAACGTTCAATTTCCACGTGTTCTTGAATGACTTAAATTTCAGTTTTTGCGTTGTATGATTAAGTGCAATGAATTTCTTATGTTAATGATTGAGAAAAACTAAGCAAATGATATCTAGACTAGCTAATGAGATAAATTAAAAGGGGTTGTTTCACCAAACCTTTTTGTCTGTTCAAAGTTGAAGTATCATAAAGCTGTCTGGAATAATTTTCTTTTGATCATCACCTCAAATCTAGAACAAGAAGTATATTTAGTATAAATTAAGGTAAGAACATAGACAGAACCTACTAAACAGCAGCTCTGTGCTGTTTAGCCTAGAATTAAAAAAGAATCCTGCAGGCCTCCTACCTTTTTTTTTTTTGGTGAAAACGGCGTAATATAAATAAAAGCAATCAAAAGTTCCCCTGGCTATTACAGAACTGTCCTAATGCTACGGGGATAACAGATGCCCCTGGTGTCCTCATCAAAAGCAAAAAGGAGTTCTCGAGGACATGATTCAAAAATCATAAAATTTTGATCCAGCTTGCTGCCCAATTTCGCTAAGACATCTGCACATCTGTTGGCCTCACGGTAGACATGCCTGAGTTTAACATGCTGGAGCTGCGAAAGCAGGCATCTGCAGTCCATGATAATTGGATGGAAAAGATGATCAGGATTCACAGTAGAATTAAGGAGAGAAATCATATCAGCACAATCAACTTCAACTTCTAAGCAGGGGATTTTTAGTGCAATAGCCAGTTGGAGTCCATCTCTAACTCCCCATAGTTCAGCTAGGATGTTAGACGCAATGCCTAAGTTTCTGCTGTAACCCTTAATCCAACAGCCAGAGGAGTCACGAAAGATCCCCCCAGCACCTGCAATCCCGGGATTATTAAGGGCAGAGCCGTCAGAGTTGAGTTTAATCCATCCACAAGGTGGAGGAATCCATCTTACCAGCACTTGGGATTTCTTATAGGGAATGGATTGAGATTGTGGGCCTAGAGTCGTGAATTCGACAGCCAGGTCTATACACCACTTCACTGGATTTGAGACTAATTTGTGAGGTTCAAAAATTTTTTTGTTGCGAGTATTCCAAATAACCCAAAGAGCAAAAGTGCATAAGACTCCCCAAGGAATAGAGAGAAAAGGGGATGGGGAAGGGTCAGTGCAGATTTTTTTGAGCCAGCCTATGAAAGGGAGATGGTTTATATTGTGGAGCCATGGTGGTTTAAGACCTGTCCAGAAGTGCACTGCTGAATTGCACTTCCTAAGGGTATGGTCTGTGTCTTCACAGTGCAAGGAGCAAAGTTGACAGGTGTTGTCCGGAAGAATATTCTATTGATGGAGAAGTTGTCTGGTGGCTAGTCTATTGTGATTCACTAACCAGATGAAGAACCTAATTCTGTTTGGGACTTCGAGACACCAAATCCAGTTAAAAGAGATAGCAGGGGGAAGTGGAGCATTTTCTTTGGCATTGGAGGCTAGCTCATAGGCTGATTTTAGTTGGAAGTTGCCGTCAATGGAGGGACTCCATTTGAGACAATCTTCTGAGACAACATGATGGGGTCTAGGTGTGGAAAGTATTAAACTAGAGATTTCATGTGGAAGGCAAAAGGACAAGAGTTGTAAACTCCATCCTCCAGCCTCCTACCTAAAATGCAAAGCGTTGCCTATGATTCCACGAGGAAGAAGCAGTTGAACTGTTGGAAGTGTTTACTAATAATCAGGATATATTCTTGAAGGGAATCCTTCCTTCTCTCTCTCTGTTTTTTTTTTTTTCCCCTTCCCTTTTCAGGTCATACTATTCAAGATGTAGGAAATATTGGGAATTGCTGTTTGCTTACATATTTTCGGCAAAGGGAACCAGTGAATTTTGGCAAGGAGTTCCCCACAAACAAGCCTGCACGGATTGCCCCGAGTAGAATTGATCAGATTTAGGCAAGTTATTTGCATGTGGCCCTTTTGAGTTTTAGAGCCAGGGCATCTTTAATCTTTTATTCCCATGTGTTTTTTGACCCCCCAAAAAAAAAAATAATAATAACAGTAACACCCTAGCAATCGCCAACTTTAGGCGCAAAGTGATGTCGTTTGACTTTGACGTGACATTGAGCCCCCATATTCTTCTTCTGTGTGAAACGTATAAAACGAAAAGAATAAATAAATTTAGGAGGGCACTAAATTAACGCAAATATAAACTTCAATGTGCCATTATATATATATCTTCCACCTCATAAATTGGATACTTTTTTTAGCTACAAAAATGCCTGTCCAATGATCATTTGGTTTGGCTCTTAGCTCAAATAAGAAAATAAAAAGCGAGAAATCTGAGGGACTAAACGAATTGTTTTGCCTTATTAAAACCGTGTTTCTTGTCTTAATGTCCAACCAAAGGAAAGGAAATGTGTGTGTGTGTGCATGATAATTAATCTAAATTTAAATTTAAAATTCCAATTTTATACTTCTCTCCTGCATCTAAATTTGCTAGTTTATGGCAGTACTAGTGTCTGCTCCGTCTTAGAAAAATGTGACATGATATGTATTCCGAATATGTTGACCTTTGATAGAATTAGTGAAAAAACTTGGTGGAAATGCAGGTCTTCTATGTAAATTCCAACATTGGGTATTGCCATTCACTCTTTTCAGTTGCAGTCTATAAGGTTATGGCAAGTTAAAGATTTTTGGGAATGTTAGGGAGTGATTTAAAGAAAAACATTCCTCATGTGTACAAGTATATATAAAAACTAGAAAGTTGTTTTTCTATAGAGCTAAAACATTAATTTGCCTTTTTTTTTTTTTTTTGTAAATTGAATTGTCAAGGGTAAGTGCAAAGTATGCCAGGAACCAAGGAAATTGAGATGAAATTATATATATAAAAAAAATCGTTTGTGACTTGTGAGTACCCGATGATAAATGTAGACCTTAATAGATTAACATACAAATATTTGCATTAAAAGTTGTGTTTTGTACGTTGTTGTTTTGATATTTACATTTTTTATATTAATTTATATTTTTTATTATTATCTGTATTACATATAAAGGAGGAGAGTCCCACCAAAAGAAAAAAATTGGAGGAAGGGGATTTTGAAATAAACATATTGTTGTCGCTTTATGTTCTTTTTAAACTATCCTTCATAACTACCCAATATCTCCTTTAACTACCAAGTAGCAACTAACAATTATATTTTCGGATTACTTCTAATTAACTATCTATTTATAAACTTTATTTTGATGAACTTTCTACCATCTAGTGTCAAAAATATAAAACTAATTCATCCGAAAATGATTTCGACAAATATACCCAAAACTTTAATAATATTTTCTATTAGTTACATGCATATTGGTGTATATCTTGAACCCTGATATGTAGTATTTTAGTGCTTACATCTATCCTGTTAATCTTTTTTCTTTTTTTTTTTTTGAATGATCTATCCTGTTAATCTAGATATCATTGCAAGTACGGTGACAATAGACCAGGTAATGGGCGCTATTAGACAATTGTTCTAGATAAAAATACCTGTTCTATATATATATATCTTTTGTTTCTGGTTCAATTTATTGCATCTTAAAATTGATAACCACATGTAATTGCTCAACACGCTATTGAGCTCTTTTTAAGGTCTACGGTGGCTTTTGGCCGAAGCACAGAAGATTGTTTGGCCCAGTGGTCGAATCAAGAAAACATTCCATACAAACGAAAATAAATAAATAAACAAGCTAAGTGGCATATATATTTAGGGAAGTCTTGAATTCTAATCCTCTTGTTTATTCCTTATTTTTAAAATGTCATCCTTACACCATTACAATAAATAAATAAATAAATACAAGGTTTTTACCTTGGGAGTCAATGAATTTCAAAACAAAAATTGAAAAAGCTGCAAGCTCATAATCTCTAGTTTTTTACTATTTGTAAATACCCTGCGGTCTTCAAAGGCAAAAGAGTGCAGATTGTGAGATAGTATGGCACATAGGGGTGTGCATCGAATTCAAAATCGGTAATTCGAAAGTTTGAATTCGAAATTTTTCAAAATTTTGGTATCTGATAATTCGATTGAATTCGATTTCGAATTCACCAATTCCAAATTCGAATTCGGTAAATTTCGATTTCACCGAATTCGGAAAAATTTATATATTATTATATTATATTATATTATATTGTATAAATTTTATATAATATTATATAGTATAAATTTTATATTACATGTATAAAAAATATATTTATATATTAAAAACAAATTTGAAATCAAAATCGGAATTCGAATTCCGATTTGAAAAACTCCATTACCGAATTCGAACCAAATTCGAAATTTATGAATTCGAAAAACCCGAATTCGATTCCGATTTCCGATTTACCGATTTCAAAAATTCCGAATTCAATTCGAATTCGGTCGGTAAATCGAAATTTTTCGATTTTGCACACCCCTAATGGCACAGCTTGAGTCATTGAATTTTTTTAAAACCTGCGCCAACCTAATGAATAACATGTGTGGTTTTGTCCGCAGTTTTTGGTGCCGTCCAAAAATTGTTATAGATTAGATTTAGTTGCCAACAACACGCTGGCTAGCCTTGGATTTAATTTCCTTTTTGAACGTCTCCTCCTTATTTCTGATCATTTCGGATCTTAATTTGCATCCACTAAAGTTTATCCTTTTGTGAATGGATTTTTTTTAAAAAAAAAAAAAAAAAGAAATGTGCCAGGGCACGTGCAAATATATCTAATTTATCAG